AGGTTTATGTAGGCTATATATTGCGTATTTCACTTATAACACTTTCTTCGTCGGAATATAATTCGAAACACATTAAAATGTAGGCAAGTTTCTTGTATTTTATTCTTGTAAACTCCTTTTTAGAATTTCATAGATGAAGATTGAAATATTCCGAAAGGTGTTGCATATTAATGAGGGACACAATTAGACATAGGAACGACAGTTCCAACCACGGACATTGGGAAACAAAACAAAAACCATACCAATTCAAAGCTTTAATATCTTTTTACACGCGGAAAACACGATATCATACTATACCTATTGTTTGAGTATCATTTATATGATAATGTAAAAAAGAAGAAGATAAAAACTGGATTAAATGAATGGAAAATTACCGTGATTAATTCAAATATAATCAATTTGATTTTGTCATCATTCTTACCTATAGCTGGTTCGTCACATACTCCCCGCGATGTAAGTTCTGGCAACGTATATGTTTGTCAGTGATCTTTTTCATCAACGAGAAAGAAAGATATGTACACGAGTATAAAACATAACATGAACAATCTACACTGAATAAATATGTTGATATGTTATAATCGTACATGTTTAAGTCATAAAATTGCAGCAGACATGCAATTAATCCCATGATATATTTCGTTATATGTATGTGTCTTGGTGTCAACGAAACTACAGCAAATAGTCTCTCCTTAAAAGCAACAACTCGTGACGTCGTCGTTGTGTATCTTGGGGTTGATATTATTCTTATGATTCGCACAAAGTCTCTCAAATAATCCTCTCCTCCAATACCAACAGCTCCTCTTGCTGTTTCACTTTAAAAAGGAGTTTCTGTCAATGTAATTGCGACAGATAGACTCACAAAACAGCCTCCCCTACGATATGGACAACTCGTGATTGTGCTTTCATAGGCGTTCTCAAAGACAGTCGCTCCAATATCAACTATAGCTGATGATATTTCTGTTTTACTAAGAGTTAATATAATCATCGATGCCTACAATAAATGTTTCCGGTCGTCTCTTTGAACGACTTTTAGACACATGTTTGACATCGTTTCCCAGACTTACATCACTTCCTGTGTCTACAAATGCCTCTCGCTTTACGACCCTATCTGACGAGTCCCCAACTTTTCGAAATGTCCCGGATGTGCGATTCGGTGTAGGCGATATCCTATTTGTGTGAACCGTTCGAGTCTCTCGTACGTCATTGAAGACACTGAAGAGTCGATATGCCAGCATGGTAATCATTAACATATTCTTAGCAGCGAAGAAAATTATACTATACGTGACAAGATTGTACGAAGCTATGGCATACATCCTTACAACAAAAAATGGTATTTCTTCCATAACCAGAGACACAATGTTACTCCACACGTCAGTCTCGAGACAGGTGTTAATGGTACCATTGTCAGTCTCCTTGTCGTCACTTCCGGCTTGTTTGTCTTTTGTCTCTGTCAAAACGAGGCTGAATTGAAGAACACTAAGAGTCCAGATACTAAGAATAGAATACACAACTACGTCGTCGCGCTTGACCTGGTTCTCGTTAAACAGCTGGAAAAAATCCGTGACGTCAGATGCCTTGCTGAGGAAGACAAAGAGTAATTGAGAAAGCTTGTCTCTGGTCAGTCTTCCCTTTGGTAAAATCCACCTAGCGAAGATAATGAGAAGGAGGAAGGTCTGTTCAATCGTGAATACCCATGTCTCATCTGTCAAGTTCACGGACAGGTTGTCCTGAAAATAAACATTCACCTTCACTTGCAATTTATAAATATGACTTCGAACATTTTTAAATTTAGTGCTTATTCAAACCTAGATTTGCATATGTTTATTATTTTAACGAATGTAAATATAGATTTAATTTATTATACAACAACTTTAAAACAAGTAAATATTATCACTATACCAGGAGAAAAGCAATGTGGTCGTGCAGGTGACCCGAATACCTTTTCACGTGTCAACAAATTGTTCCCCTCACACTATCAATCTGAGACCCTACACACAACGAGAATTACACGGTGTTGGAACTTCCGGTAACTAATCTACTTCCTGTCAAAGTTTTCAATTTGGTACAGGTTCTGAATCTGTCCTCGTGTTTGTCTTTTATTCATTATAATCGACTTGCACGTTGTTTGTGCCACATTAAGAAAGCTGTATGGCATGGGCGTCGCTTTTAGAGACTCTCGTTACGTCAATATACCGAAGCTCATAGACCGTTTGTTGTATTCTGATTGATGGTTATATATCAGGCTATATACACGTATAAATACAAATATGTTATGTGGCATATATCACTGTTACTTACCCCATACAACAGGTCTAACGCCTCATCTGTTGAAATGTTACGATCTGGTGTCCCATGTATCTTGTCTAGCTCAAGCCGCCATATACACGGTACGTTTATTATGGTAAATACGAACGTACATAATGACATCCTAAAACAAATACAGTAAACTGTTATTGGGGTAACTATGAATAATGGCATTCTAAAATAGATACGGAACACGTTTATTAAAGTTAACACGACCGTTACATAATGACACAACAAACCAAAAAGAGGACAAATTTATTAAAGTAAAATCGAACTTCTAAAAATAAGTAAGAGGAACGTTTAGTGGAGTAAATACTTATTAGAGTAAACAAGACAAAATTGAACAGCTACTCAAGAACAATGCGATTGTTTGAAAGTTTTGGGAATAAAGATGAAAACATCCAGCAAATGCGGGGACTTGTAAAATTGATATTATGAAGAGAAAAAGAAGGGTACCGTTCCAGATAATTGGCAGTTCCAGTCTCACTTTCGTTTCTTATTTCTGCTTTAGTAACCGTATTTTCAAAACTACCATAAATCCTTTTCGAAACACGTGATTTGGCTTTGAAGTAGATTTACTTCAGTGTCAAACCTGGATATTTTAAACTTTGGTATAACAAAACTATATTTAAACATTGTTTAACAAAACTATGGTTAAACATTGTTAAACAAAACTATGGTTAAAC